CAGTCCTGCACCTGGAGGCAGAGGTCCTGGGGTCCTAACCCTGGTACTGACTGACTGTAACAGATGGTGAAACGCCGGTAGATCATCCCATGTGAGCCAAGAACTGGGGCTGTTTAGCTGGGAGGAAAGAAGACGTGGGCTGGGCAGACATGCTGGCAAAGAGGGCATATGTGCAGGGTTGGTTAGAATGGATTGGCTTTTTTCTTCACGGTCCCAAGGGGCAGGAGGGAGGACGTTTTGAAGAGTCTATCTAAAGGTGGAATGGGCTGCCCAAGAGACAGCGGGCTCCCCCTCCCTGGAAGACTTCAAGCAAAGGCTGAACGGTTTTTAACAGGAAAATGACACTGGCAGACCTGTGCATTAAGAAGGAAAGGGGAAGGGAATAAGTATCTATACAACACCTACTGTGTGACAGACCCAGTTCTAAACACTTTACAATTATTACTTCATTGTATCCTCACAACAACCCTGGGAGGTAGGTGCTATTATTATCCCCATTTTACAGTTGAGGAAACTGAGGCAGACACAGCTTAAGTGACTTGCCCAGGATCACACAGCCAGTAAATGTTTGAAGACAGAATAGAACTTGGGTCTTCCCGATTCTAGGCCCAGAGCCCTATCCACCATGCCACCTAGCTGATTCTGCCAAGTGTTTGAAGGATAGAAGGTAAGGAGATTTCCTGGAACCATGGAGTCCAGTCAGGAGGTTATTGTAGTAGTCTTAAGAAAGATAATGAGGACCTGACCTTGGGTGATGACAGTGGGAATAAAGAGGATGGGACTGATGGGAGAGATGGGACGGAGATAGGGCCAAGAGGACTTGGTAAGTAATTGGTTATTGGGGGTGAGGGAGAAGGTAGAGTTCAAAATGATTCTGATATTTTGAGTCTGGGTCACTTAGAGAGATAGTGGTGATATCATAAACAGAAATAGGGAATATAGGGAGAGAGGCAGTTTTAGGGTGAAAGGACCTTAGAAGTTGGCAGCCAGGTTGCTCAGTGGCTACAGCACTAGGCCTGAAGTCAGGAAGACCTAAGTTGAATTCTGGCCTCAGACACTCACTAGCTGTGTGATCCTGAGCAAGTCACTTAAAACCCTGTTTGCCTCAGTTCCCTCATCTGTAATGAGCTGGAGAAGGAAATGGCAAACCATTCCAGTATCTTTGCCAAGAAAACCCCAAATGGTGTCATGAAGAGTCAGACAGGACTGAAATAACTGAACAACAACAACAACACCATATAGATTAGTTCCCTCATCCCTACTGAATACCTCCTGTGCATTCAACCCCTTGTTAGGCTCTTCTGTGAAGGAGACAAGAAAAAGAGAGGATACTTCCCACCTACTCCTAGAAAGATGTTATTTTTGGCCACATATACAGTAAGACCCAAACTAGAAGACCTTGGGCAAGTCACTTGGGGCCCACTCTGTGTCTCAGTTTTCTCATTTGTCAAATGAGGAAGTTGGATTAGATATCTCTGAGGCCTCATGGTATGATGGGAAAAGCCCTGGCTCTATAATCAAAAGAATCGGGTTGAAATTCCAACCTTTGACACTTCCTGCCTATGTGACCACCTTGGGCCAAATCACTACCTCTCTGTTCCTCAGTTAGTTCATCTGTAAAATAAAGAGGTTGAACTAGATGGCTCCTAAGGCCCCCTCCAGCTGCAAATCATTGATCCTATGATCCCTTCCAGATCAGACATTCCATGTTCTCTGTTCTAACTTTGCATTTCTAAAGTCCCCTCCAGTTCTGCCATTCTGTGTTTGAATGTTACTCCAGCTATAATGTTTTCTGTTCTACTTGAAAGGAGTATCTAGAAAGTGTATAGAAAGCACTTCATGTGAAGAAGTCTTGGAAGTCTTAGAAGGCCACAAGCTTGATTTAACAATGTGATTTGGTAATGAATAAAAGCTAATGAGGCTGTACTAATATCAATCAACCAAAGCATTTATTAAGCACCTACTTGTACCAGGCATTGTGCTAAGCTCTGGGGACACAAAGAAAGGAAAAACAAAAACATGCACACAAAAAATTAGTCTCTTCTTTCAAGGAGCTCACAGTCAAATGGGAGGGACAACATGTAGACAGCTACATACAAAGAATCTATAGACAAGATATATTGGAGGAGGCACAGAGGGAAGACATTAAGAAAGGCTTCTTGTAGAAGACTTCAGCTGAGGCTAGGAGGAACAGGTGACAGTCAGTGAAAACACTTAGAATGGGGAGATGGGGGCCATGTTCAGGGACCAGTCAGGAGGTCTTGTCCAGGGCAGGAGGGATGGTGGTCCTGCCCCCACCCTACATTGCTCTGGCCAGCTCTCATCTGGAATAGTCTGTCTAATTTGGGGAGACTTTGGCAAGAAAACATCAACTAGTATAATACAGAGATTAAAATTACATCGTTCATATGAAAACCAGTTGAGAGAGCCATGGATATTTAACCTAGCAAGGAAATGGGATGCCTGATATTTGCCTATCGATATCTGAAGGGCAATCATGAGAGGAAGGAAGCAGACTTATTCTGTGATGCTCCAGAGGTTAGAATTAGAACCAGTGGAGGGAAGTTTAAGGATGCAGATTCATGCTTCACGTAAGGAAAAAATATCCTATTTGAACCGTCCAAAAGTAGAATGGACTGTCTTGGGGAGTAGCAAGTGCTTTGTCATTGAGTTATTGAGTGAGGGATATTGACCATTAGATTGTAAACTCCTTGAGAGTAGGAACTGTCTTTCTCTTCCTTTTGTATCCCCAGCACTTAGAACAGCTCCTCAGACATAGTAAGTGTTTAATAAATGTTGATTGATTGAGTGAAGTTATGATAAGGGGAGGAGTTGACCCAGGTGACCACTGAAGTCTTCTCCAACCCTAAGATTCTGTGAGTCTGTTTCTAAGACTATTAAGGCCTCCTCCAGTTCTGATCTTCTGAAATTCTACTATTCTCCAGGGGGAAGTCCTCACCAACTCAGTCTGGGTTTTCAGTGCATAGTAAGGAGAGGCGCTTGGCTCGCAGAGAAGGGTGAGGCCAACGGAGCAGAGCAGGGATGATATTACATCTGGGGAATGTCAGTTATGAGGGAAAAGGGTAAGGGGCCTCAATTTCTGCTCTTTGGAATAGGAATTTGGAAATAGCATATGAAGAAATATGAGAGGCTAAAATAAAAGTTGGATGACTGGAGAAAATGTCTTATCTTTCCTTCTTGTAAATGCTTTGCCTCCACTGACATTAGCTGAAGTTAGCCTGTAAGTGTTACAGCATTAAACAAAGCGAAAGCAAGTACCTGGGAGGAAGTGACAGTGTTTGTGAAGATACCAAGAAGTGGATGTCTGACCAAGGTGCTTGGGTAATTCATAGAAGCAGAGGGGCCTAGGAGGTCACCTGGATATAGAATTCTAGAATGTCAGAACAGGGTAAGGCCATTAGAACATAGAACATCAGAGTTGAAAGTGTCCTTAGAACGTCAAAGCTGCAAGGCACCTTAGAATACAAAGTTGGAAGGAACCTTAGAACACAGAATGTCAGAGCTGGGAGGGACCCTGGAACACAGGGTGTCAGAGATGGAAGGGTCCTTAGAACCCAGAATGCCAGGGATGGAAGGGTCCT